GGGTTTGATCTGTGAGTTAGCTTGGCCATGCACTGACTTGGATCAACGCAGAGGTTATTTCTGGGTTTGATCTGTGAGTTAGCTTGGCCATGCACTGACTTGGATCAACGCAGAGGTTGTTTCAGGGTTTGATCTGTGAGTTAGCCCAGATGTTGTTTCGGGGTTCAATAAGATTTAAACGCTGATGGTTTTAAAGGTGTATTTATGACTGCGCACAAAGGAATACCTAAAACTGATACTTACAAACTTCTTCTTGTCTTCAATGGCAGCCAGCAACCTCTTTTCTTCGTCGTTCAAAAGTTTAATCTGAGGAAAAAAGAAGCAACACTAGAAAAAGAAACAAAAGACCTTTTTCTCAAGGTTGCGCGTTCATCCAAATTTAAGAAACTTGACGATCCACGACACAAGAACCGGAGCTTTATACTCACGTTTCTAGGAGATTTTTTATAAGAATTCATAAAATCGATTATACTCCTCTTTAAATATAAAACTGGTTTCTCAATTTGACTGAATTTGCGTTTTTCAGTTTTGTGGCCCGTCAAGTTGGATGCGCACGCAACCTTGAGAAAACGGTTTATAGATTAACATTACAAGTTTGTAAATATACGAGACGCAAGTATGATTGCAAGAGAAAGATCAACAACACCCGGATTATCAGACGTGTTTTATCTACCTCTTCACCTATCGCCTCCTGCAGGAGTACCAGTTCGTCATTGGCATCCACGAGTTGTGCTTTTCGTCTTCTTAACTCTTGCTCTAGTCGCGCTAGTAGCTCCTCAGCTGCAAAACAACAACGAAATATAGTCTGAGCTTTACAGTCCTGCTAATGATAGGAAATATATACCTGGTTCGATATCTCATTCCGCCCTTTCTATCACTTCCCCCCCCCCTCCCCCACCTTAGAAGACAGCGCCCTATCAAAACGTTTTCGCATTCGCATTTCATACCTTTCTGTACTGCTAGTTCCTTGTCTCTCAAGTCCATCATCAGTGCCCTGTGTATCTCATCTTGTGTCATCTTGTTCTGGTTGTCATATCTGTCGCTTAGTCGAGCTTTTAATTCGCTCATCTCAGCCTTCTGTGCTGGGCTCAGAGCCTGCGAGTCGAAGGCAAATCTGTTTGGCTTGAAACCTGCTTTTCCTATGTATGGTGCTTCGTCATCTTCCTCAGGCTGAAATAATGATGACAGGAATTGTAACCTCTGATTGAATTGGAATAAGATTGTAAATTAGGTTTTACCGAGAGAGGAAAACAAAGAACTTGGAGAAAAACCAAGATTGAATCAAGGGAAAGACCTAACAAACTCTACTCACGTGGAGCAAGGTATTGAACCTGAGACCTGTGAGGTGAGAGGCGAATGCACTACGACTATATATACCACCCTTTATTCTACCATTGCCTCACTTACATTCATACATACTGCTGTTTTCCACTTTTAATGACCACCCCCTCTTGCCTTGATTTCACTACTTCTTGCCTTTCTTGCTTCATTTTCATTTCTTTAATATCATTGTGTTTGAATGGAATGTGATATTCCTTACCTCGGCACCTTCTGGCCATGGCATCTTTCCTAGATGATCAAACTTTGCATCTAGTTTATAGAACGCTAGCTCTTGTTCTAGTTTGTACTGCTTTTCACATGCCTTGGAGAGCTCAGCTGTCTTACTGTTAAGCTAAAAACAATAATAACATTTGACATCATCATAATCATTATGAGCGCTAACTCCTCAGCATCAACATCATCTACAGCAACAGCATCACCTCACCTCTTCACACTTGTTGCGCATAAAGCCTTGATACTACAGCAATAGCACTACCCACAGAAAACAATGGTATCATCAAAACCATCATCATCATCATTATCACCACCACCACCACCACCACCACCATCATCATCATCATCATCATCACCATCATTATCACCACCATACTAATTATGAATATCATCAATATCATTGTTATTAACATCATTGTCAATGTCCTCATCATCATCTTCATCATCTGACAACATCATGATTGTATCATCATTCATTGCTATCATCAGCAACAACTTCATCATGATCGGAATAACACAACTCTACATTAATTACTTTTCCATCAACAACTAACTCACAATTTCTTCCTTGGATTCCAGTTCTCTTTGTAGCTGTTTGATCTTGTCTGTTTGTCTGGATTCTTTTTCCTTCTGCTGTGAACTCAGTCTAGTTAGCATCTCTAGTTCTGTACTAACTTCTCTTTTCTCTTCAAACAGAGCATCATACATATTCTCCTGTCTTGACAACTCTGTCTCCAGTCTCCTTATCTCATCTACAGTCATCAACAAACAAAAGAATAGTCAGATTCCAAGGGGACATCTTGAATAGGATCAGATGTCACATGTGAAAAGGGTTTGTTTGAAGTGTTTTTCTCTCCCCTGCCACAAGGGCTTTTCCCCAAGTCTTCCAGTTTTTCTCCCTTTGTTAAAATCAACATCAGTTAGAAATTGTATTGCATAGAATATATTGAATGTAGTCACATGTGGTATAGTGTGTGAGTCAAAGTGATCCAAATTGGAAACAAGTATTTACGCTATATTTTTTAACCAATGGTATTAAAAAACAATTTCACCAAGATCACTGTCATATACAGTAGCTAAATCCTTCACCTCTCCCCTGCAACACCCAAACCCATTTTTGATTTAAGGATCTTTCTTACCTTGTCCAAACCTGTCATCGGCAAGGGCTCTTTCATCAGGTTTTATTGCAGCTCCATCAAGCACTGACAAGGATCGTAGCTGGAATATCACAAACTGTCGGCTGTGTGCCAGGGTAGACATAGGGTTACCTTCYATTGACACATCTATCAAATCTTGTTGGGGCCTTAGTTTGGTTATCTCAAGTAACTGTATAATGATTCAAAGGGTAGATTATAGTTAAGAGATACCAGAGTACCAAGTGCTACCAAGAAACAAAGAAATAATACTCAAGGGATTGACACATGGTTAGAAATGAAAAATAAAAACAAAACTCAACCAATGTGCCCACAGACCAATGGCTCAAAGTGCTGATTGGACTTGATGTGTTTATACATTTACTGCATTCTATAAAGGCCAACCTCAAACTAGAGACATTTGTTTCATGGTCACACAAGTGATTTTGCAAAAGGTCTTTTCAAAGATTAAATTAGGATTAAGAAATATTGAGTTTGATAGGGAAGGGCCACTTAACAAAAAAATGATACTCAAGGGAAAGATACATAACAAGGTAACAGGGACCGTGGCGCCAGGGGGCTGGGGGGCTGCACCCCCCCTTTTTTCCTACTAGTCTCTTATATTTTCCAATCTTAGCTAATTCTTTTTCCATAGTAGTCTCAATATTAACCCCCCACTTTTTAGGTTGCTCCACGACCCCTGGGTATAAAACTTTAAATCCCAGCTATAAAATAGGACTAATGACTTACACTTTCAATCTTGTTATGGGCAATATGAAATACTTGAAGCTCCTTCAGTTTCTTCATCAACCCACCAGGTAACTGTGTAATCTTGTTCCCACTAAGATTGAGTTTCTGCAGTCTCACTAAACACTCCAGTCCTTCTATCTTACTAATGCTGTTCCTGGACAGGTTAAGATCTCTTAGTTGAGTCAGTTTATCAAGTTTTTCGATCTTCTCGATCATGTGGTTACTGATGTGGAGAGTATGAAGTCGGCGGAGGCTATCAAGGTTTTCTATATACTGGAGACAGGAAAATGATTGCCATCATATTTGTTAAAACTTTGAATGACATGCACGGCTACAGCACCTGTACATGTAGCTTAGGTATGGGGTCACAGGTAGTATTCTTTACTGAACCTGGTATTTGAGTTAAGTTTTCTTATGCATGGTTCTCTCTCTGTTTGTATTTTTCTGCAATTTTCCTCCCTCCATAAAAATCAACATGTGAAGTGGGAGTGGTATGCGTAGAGTATTGAATATAGTGGCAGTGTGTGTGTGTGTGTGCAAAAGTAGGCCAATTTGAAAGCCAATATTCATATACTGAATTCCTTTACCCTCTCCATAAAAAAGATAAATTATTTCCCTCTCACATAAATCTAATGTGTAGTTCCAAAAAATATCCATACCCCACACACGGAGAAAAATTGGAATTTCTGAAGGGGATGGGTCAGAGAAAAAACAAAATTGCAGAGTTTGTATGGAAGAAAATTGGAAGTTCCTGGGGTTAGGAGGTCCTTTTACAATTATTCCCTTTGTGGTGAGGGTATGGATATTTTCTGAAACTACACAATCTAGGTAAAAACACCTTCCAAGAACCAACCTTAAACTTTTTCTTCAAATCTTTTCCCAAAATCAAATACAATTTAGTAATGTTCCCAAGGTTTTCCTCATGTGTTAACCTCTTGATCAAATTCTCTGTGATGTATGCTACTCCTGTCTTAGACGGACTGATCACTGTTGAATCCAACTCTTGGCTGACATCTCTTGTTGGAATATCATCTGAGAAAATCATTATAAAAATGTACACTAAACTGATATATGGCGAACGATTTGTATAGGAAATTGCACAATCTTGAGTACAATTTGAAATTTATAGGTACGTGTGATGTTTTAAAAGTTCTCAAAATTGGATTAGCCTTTGGGCAAGTCCAATTTGAGAATTTTCAAAACATCACGAGTATCTTTAAATTCAGAATTGTACGAGAAGATTGCAAACACACACACACTCAACAAAACTGAGCAACTTAATTGGGACTCTTACAAAGTACAATTTGGGAATTAATTGTATTCCTATTGTCCAATCGTAATCGAATAGCTTCGTTGAGTGTATTATAAGAATAACTATTTTTTCTGGATAATTGACTTGCCACTGACTAACCTCTCATACATGTGAAAACGCTTTCATGCTTCCACGTGAAGGAGACGCTAGTCAGTCACTAGTCAGTGAAGAATAATCGTTGTTGCATTTGGTCGCCATATTTATTTCAATGCGGTGTGTGCATGCCATGTAAATAAACAGACATAGTGCTTGAGAAAATAATACAAAACAGCTGATATATATATATAAATATATTGTTGCAAACTGAGTTTTCAAAAGAAATCTTAATGTAGTTTTTGAGCTATAACATTAATAAAATACCATGTCTATATTATATTAATTAACGAGAGAATAATGTAATAGTAACGAGAACATTATACTACAAAACGGTCAATACGGTCAATAATTAGCGTGTTTATATAGTGTGTTGTGCTTCGTATAACTTCTTCATTACCTTCATAGCTAGTATCTATTTTTTCTTGAGATCCATTTTCTAGGGCTGGTTCTTTCTTTATTGGAGAAGGAAGCTTTCGTCCTTTATGAGAGGAATTCGAAGATCTTCTCGAAGGTTTCCCATCTGGTGAAGGTCGTCGACCAGGAGACGAACTGTCTTCCATCTTGCGATGCTTTTTTCACTCCAAAATTAATTCCCCTAGCAACTGAAGGATTCAAGAAACCTTCTTCATTGAATACCGAGCTGAAATGGTCTTTCTTTTTGCTCAAAAGTTGATACTTTTTGAAGTATTATCGAGGTGTTCACTTGTAGTTGCAAGATCAAGAGGTCAGAGTGTCCGTTTGTGTTCCATGGAACAAGCAATTTTAAACCGTAATATTCCCAAACAAAAACCTTTGTTATAGCAACTGGAGACTCCTGGTTCTTCCTTCTTCCAAATATGATCTGAATAAATAAAATATCCGGGATAAAACAGAGGTTTAAAGTAATTAAAATATTGTTAAATGAATGCCATCCGTCGACTGAAGGAATTCACTGCACGTCTCTCTTAAAATGGCGCCATTTTTTGAATTCAAATCACTGTTTCTTTGAATAAAATAACTATTCTTGGGATTTCTTTACTCTTTAGGATGATAACTCGAAGGATAAACCAGAAATGAAGCCATAAGAATAGTTTAAACAGAAGAAAGAAGAAGAGAAGATGATGAACTGTCAACTGACGCTCTTGATTTGTTTGTTGAACACTACTGGTATGGGTGGGGTAGGCAAGGTATGATTTTTGTTACCACAGGAAACCCACCACTTGTTATCCATTTTATTTTTATTTTTATTTTTATGTACAATATATATAAAACCACCCGTCCCGCACGTTGTAACCCAGTACTTTGAGGGCCACTAGTTTATCAGTACCTTGCTATCTGTTATGTGTTTTACCAACTTGAAATAAAGTTGTTATTATTATTATTATTAGTAGTGGTAGTGGTAGTGGTAGT